ATTACTGTTAAGCAGGCCTTCGGTAATATCGGATTACTGGCCGGTTACGGTGCTAAACCCATAGGGCCGGGTTTGGGCTGTGACATGCTAAGACACTAGATCTCCAGGAACTTTGCCTCTTCAACGCCCTCAAACTATCCAGGTTCACTATTTCGAATGACCCATTTTTAATACCTGTTACTTTTTGTTTTTGGAATTTTGCTTACAATTTCTTCCAATTTAGATGTGGTATAATGGCCTCTACTGTCCTTAACATCTGCCATCTATTAGGGTTATCCCCTATTGGTACTTCCTTTGGTCCAAACTACCCTGACCTCAACATCCATTTTTCGCCACAAAATGTAGCCCACGGCCACTGAGAGATGGTCTACGGGACCTCTCCCTCCCCTCAGGAAAAGAAACAGAGAAAACCGAGTCTGGTTCGCAAACCGAGGCAAGGCACAGAAGAGGGTTCGGAAGTCCGGAGGCAGGGCTCGCAGCCAAGACTCTGAAACTTCTGAACGAGCACATTATGCAATATCACCAAGTGCTCAATTGGTGACGTCTGAGTCTCAAGGTCGGTCAAAAATGGGGTGTCTACAATGTATGATAAGAATATAAGATGAGAAAATATGCTCCCAAGTCTCAATAAATTTCACTCGATGTTGAGAAGATTTATTAGTGATATCAATGATCAGAAATCTATGGGAATCAATTATATGATAAGAATAAAACAACGAATGAAGGGAGAATGAAATCATACTACACTACCATTTTATAACAGTTGGTTATGCTATCTAAAGAAATAAACTACAAGACATATCATATAGCACCAAAAAAAAAAAAAAAAAAATTCAAGACGTGTCAAACTTGAGGAAGTACTAAAGGTTCTGCATTCTTGTCAAGTCAGATGGCACTTCCTGACTACAAATGGCATCGGATTAAAGACAATTCCTGCCTCTGCCAAAGAGTTCTTCATAAAGGTCGGTATCAAATATTATGAATTGAGATGATTCCTCATAAAGAGGCATTTGCATGAAATTCCTTTGCGTCTGTTTGCCCTTTGTTTCCCCTTACCAGATGCTCGAGGGATGTCAGCAGCCTCGTTAACTGTTTGACCAGAAAATAAGTTCGCTCTACTATCCAACTTTGGAGTGTCATCAGACTTCCATGGCCAATTATCGTTGGGCTCGGACATAGGATTAAAACTCTAGATTAACAAAAACAACAAACCATTGGTTGTTAGGGGTTACTATGCTGGCAAATATTATATCTGTTGGAGGGTGTAAAAGCAATAAGTTACCTTATTAAAATCGTCAGAAAGTAAAGCAGAATAAAACTTTGTCGATGCTCCAATCACAAGATCATCTTCATCATCTAGCTAACAAATGTCATCATCACAATTGCCTGATCCCCAATATGGGACACTTCTTGGGAACTTCTCGGCATATATAGTTGAGTACCTCACACGATTATGAACATCCTTCAATCGCGTGGGGTCCATGCTAAAGCAGGAATACAACCTCAAAGAGTCATAATTACAAATAACAGACAATATTATATCTTGAAAGCACCCAAAGTTATTTAACAAAAATCCTTACGAGTTCTCAAGCTCCATCTCAGGTGTTGCCATCTTTTTTCCAGAATTTTCCTAATGATTGTAAAATAAATAAGAATGGAAAAAGAAAAGCTGCATAATGCAAACAAAGAAGGCTTCATGCAGTTATACTGACCATAACTGAATCATATAACACAGGATAGGATTCCTGATACTCCTTAGTAACAAATGGATGCTGCATATGATGAGCCAAAAACATTTTTTATAACAATTATTAAAAAAAGTGACAACTTTTATTATCTAACATTGTGTTTTCCATCATAACCAAGGAATGTTCTGCTACAAGATAACCAGGATTTAGATATATATATATATGAGTTAGAGCTTAATTTATTAGGAATCGATAAGTTAAATTAGCTTGCAGTGTAATAGTACCTGCAGCAGATCTAATGCAGCAAGCCTTAAGTTTGGTTCCTTGCCATAGAAGGATAAGAGAATGAAACAAACTAAAAAATAGAAGCATAAATTATCTTCTTGTAAATTTGTATATCAACCTAAAAAAAAATAATTGGCAATGGATACAAAGGGCAGCAGAAGCAAGAAACAAAAATAATAGGCATGAGGAACATACTTCTGCAAACATTTTAACAAAAAATCTATTGCTTCAATAGAGAGATGCTCAGGGATGGGTGGATTAGATTTAATTGTCCCAATATGGAAGATAGCAGCAACCTGAAAGAAACACCAATTAGTTAGTTCACAAACAATGAACTAACATCTTACTGAGTCCCAAAGTTGTAGTCAATAGAACAAATAAATACTTCAGTAGGAAAGCAATAGAAGATGATGGTTTCAAAATACCTCCTCATACTGCTGGCTCCAATGAGGCTTTCCTGTAGCCATCTCAATAACAGTACATCCAACACTCCATATATCAGCAGAGCTGGAATGTTTAATATTGAACTAATGAGCTAAAACAAACACAAAATGAGGAGTGCAACAAGCATGGTGTATATGCACGTGTTTAAATGAAAATATTGCAAGCATTTACTACACCAATGAGTAAGAGTAACTTTGTCCACATTGAAGATGTAACTAAGGTGACATGGGTTGAGCTAGCAAGAAAACACATGGTCGCATTTGTCTTATCCATATCATAGATCAGCTATAAGCATGGAAATGTGTGATTGTACTCACAAGCTATGCCCGGCTTGAAGGATAACTTCAGGAGCCATCCAATATGGAGTACCTTTCATTGACTTTGCACCAGTCATTGTAGCCTGTACTAGCAACATACATAACTTGGGTATACAATAATTTGACATAATATTACCTTGGAAAGAAAATAAAATAAATAACTAGAAAAATTAAATAAAAAATGAAATAGAGGAAACATTGTTCATACCAACTCAACAACTTTCTTTGATGCACCAAAGTCTACAAGTTTTATGCACCCCTCATTATCAACAAGGATATTCGCTCCCTGACAAAAGCATGACCTTTAACAAACATATATATATATATATATATAGAGAGAGAGAGAGAGAGAGAAGTTTTATGAAGATACCTTGATGTCCCTGTGCATTATTCCATTCTGGTAAAGGTATTCCAATCCCAACAACAACTGTTTTGTGTACATTCTTATAACCTGCTCGGCATACAGAGTGTTAATAAGTAGGCCTTGCAATGCATTTTGATATAAACTTCAATACTCAAAAACAAAAAATTGATAATTTGAATAAGTGGTAATCAACTTACAGACTCGGGGAACGAACTAAATTTTCCTAGGAGAGAAGAGATAGATCCACCAGGAACAAATTCTAGCAAAATATTAAAAGATTCCTCCTCTCTAGTTGTTTCCAAGTATCTCTTCAAGAAAAAGAAGAGATGGGTACAGTCAGAAAACCAACCAAAAAAATAAAGATAGACAGACAAGACAATTAAAATGAACAGCCATTGCTTCAGTAAGAATGCAAATCAAATACATACAATAATGTTTGGATGTAAAAGATTCTTAAGAAGGTTCATTTCTTCAAGCTCTCTAATGTGGGCCTAACAAAAATTTAAAAAAGGTCAAATTCAGATACCATACTCTTGCCAATCAATTAAAGCAAAAAATTTTAAACTTTAAAATAGAAAACTACCAATTTAGTACCACAAACGCAATCTATCTATCAATCTATACTATATATATAACCAAATGTAGTTGTGTTGTCAAAAGCTTTCAAATATTTATTCCTAAATTCTCATAATTTTAAAACTCTCTCTTTTCTACATGGCAACCTTCTTTGATTGCCTTTCATGTTTTCTATTTTTCTTTATTTTCTATTTGTTTGATTAATTAAACTGAAAATTAATTTCATTGCTTATAGATAAAGATTTAAATCTCAAAATTCCTCCATATAGATAAACATATAAATATTGAAAATTAATTTATGAAAATTAATTTTATAGTCTACAAATAAAGATAAAAATTAAACAATTAATTTCATAACTTATAGATAATTTTAAATTTCTTCCCTTAAATAAACATATAAAAGTTGATAAATAACTTACAAAAATTAATTTCATGGCCTACAAATAAAGATAAATATTAAATAATTGATTTAAAAAAAGGGAGAAGCACCAATAAATCCTAAATCGTAGTTTAATGAATTGTTTAGTCCTATCTTTTTTCTTATGAACCAAAAGGTCCTATTCAAGTGAGAATTACCTAAAAGGACAGTCAGTGTCATAGGTGTGTGTTTTTGGTGAGGGAGAAAAATGGATTTTCCCTTTTGGTGAAATTACTCATATGGACAATCCATACTATAGTGTTTTTTTTTTTTTTTTTGTGTTTTTCCTTCCCTCACGAACCAATCCAACATTACAAACATGAAAAGATTCGAAACCCTTCTGTAATATTGATTTTCCTTCATGGATTCAGGAACATTGCAAATGGTAATGAGTGTTTACCTCACCAAATTGCCGATTTCGCATCCAAAATTCGGGTCAAAAACAGTACCTCGTCGAAACCCTACCTTCTCAAATCAACTGAGACAGTGATTTGAACAGTCTTCAAACATCTGTGCAAACGTGAGATTGTTGATCGTGCCGACGATTTCAAAAACGAAATTGGGGGTCCGAACCCTACATTAGATAGCAGTGCCCATCGGGTTTTTTTTGTAAAAGATTCATGACAAAGAAACGTGAAGATACGTAGTGTGTGAGTTTTGATGCTTAATATGGAATTTATCTTTAGGATTCGCATACGGGTAATGAAAATGTTATTGTAACGCTGTTTGCTAGTGTTTAATGTTTGTTGTAACGGTTTAATTGTTCGTATATGTACATAGTTGTCGTCCACGTGGTCGATGTTGAGGGGTTTGACGTACGTTGGTAGTGCCCCATGTTTGAATGTTATGCCGGATTTGGGGCATGCATGATTGTCATCATGTTAGTGTTAATGTGACGACTAACATCATAGGGTTTCAATTATTCCATTGTTGACAACGCAACCGTGGTATTACATTACCCAGTTTTGGCTTGGATTTGTCAAGTCATGAGTTGGTTTGTTAACATGGAATTTATAATCATGAGTTGGTTATTAGGGGAGGTGGGATGTCGCTTAAAAAAATGTGGTTTTACTGGAATTTACTGCATATTTTGAACAAATGAATCGCCGTGCATTTAGGAAACATTGTAATTGGGTGTGGTATACGGCACAATGTTTATTCGGATCCTATTCATTGTGTATGATGTTGGTTTTCTTGAAATGTAGGTGTTGTGATGATGTTGATTGGAAGTTTAGTTTGTTGGATTTTAATTTAATTTAATTGTGAGCTTCTCATTGGTTTATGATGAAGGTATGGTGACATCGTATTTTTATTGTGTTTATGTGCTTAATGATGCACATAGTTATTCGTGTTACGTTGACATTGATACAATGTGTACATGATGTTATTTGTTGTTGACGGCAGTTATGAGATTCACCATTGTGTACTTAGTAAATGTAATAACCTATATTGATTGATGTGCATTTGTTTAACATCAAAGCATTACGACTAAGCATCCTAAAATTTTTTCCATATGTAACGTAACATCAAACCTAACATTCCCACAGACGGCGCCAATTGTGCGGGGAGCAAATATTCAGGCAAGCCCGCACTCCTTTCTTCCAAGCTCCGTTTCTGTCCGATCACCTGCGTGCACAACAGCAGTGAGCTACCCGGCGGTGTGTGGCCGGAAAACCCCTCCGACGATCAAGTCAGACACACACACAGGGATAGAGAGAGAGAGAGAGAGAGGACTGAGTTGAGTGTAAGTATTTTTCTTACCAAATGTTCGTGTGTCCAGCATGGGGGGCGCAGACTTGCTTATATACCTTCTGCGCCCCAAATCTACTCCCAGTGATCTCTCGACACATGGTTCTGCTATCCCATCTGTCAGCACAGATCTTGCTGAACATCACCTAACCCGACTGCCAACCCACTCTACTGGAAGCTCGGCAGTCGGGCTGAATCTTCTCGGCTGTTAAAGGCCATGTTGCGTTTCATGCCCAATTGCTCCAAGAACTGAGATCCTTTCCAGCCATTCTCGGCAGCATTCCGGCGAAGCCGACCGACCTTGAGATTGGTCGTACTGGTCAACCCAAGGCCTTCCAGCCGGGATTCTGGCGCAAGCTTCTCGGCCGGGCTAACGGTGCGTGCCTTTGACCGAGCAATGTAAGTTGCACGGTTATCACCTGCGCAGATCCAAGTACCTCGGTCCATCTCTGAGCAGCCCCAACTTTGGGCAAATCCAAAGTTATCGCGGCCCAACGTACCATTGGGCCTCCAATTTGCTCGGCCTCTAACCCGGCCCATATCCGGCTCATAATTCTCCCTCTCAATTGCCCCTTAATTCCGTTCGCGCAAGCGTAACTGGGATTACCAATTCTGACCGGGGTAACACTTCCTCGGTTTGCAATACAGTGACCAAGCTACTTGACATACCGGTCTTCAAAACTTGCCCAGTCGATGCCTCGATTCACCATCCTGTCTTTTCAGTACTGACGCCGCCGTCAATAGGGACGCGTGTCGTGGGTTGATTGGCCTCGAGTAGCCAAACATCACGTCCATTCAGATTCAAATTTTTGGCGGTCTTCTTCATCTCTATAAACATGTTGAACCTTCTTTTATTCCAACCTTACTGACTCTCTCTCCTCCTTGTCGATCCAGAGCTTCTGCCTTCGCTTGCTTGCCATTGCTGAGTCCATCTTCGAAGAAGAAGACTTTGCCCTCTCCTGGTAAGTTCTTCGAGCCTCGTTTTTGTTATTTCAGTAGGTATTTTCACATATCAGGGCACTAAATCCATAGGTTTTAGGGCCTCCCCCACCCAAAACCTTCAATGCCCCTTAGTTTCTTCGTTGTTCTTCAATTTCCCTGATGAACAATGAAAATCTGGGGCGGACCAGGCTCCAGATCTTCATCCGATCCCAAAAACCATTCAGACTGAGCAAATCTTTTGTTTGTCCCAACCTTAGTAGAAACCGAGCTAGCAAAAAGGACTTGGCCGCTCGACCGGACTAATCTCTGGTTCGCTCGAGCGATCGAGCTCCTTGGCTAGCCTTTACGGCCGAGGTGGTTTGGCACAATTTATGACCGAGCTCAAGTCTAGCTCGTTTTGCGCGACCGCACTCCCACTTACAATTACCCTCTGTTTTCCTGCAAAGTCCAAGGGAACCAAAGACCAATTCTTAGGCTCTCAAGGACCGAGCAACCATTAATTCCCAGCCTGTGCCAAACCTCCTCAGTCGAGCTAAATTAGTCGGCCACACATGGGGAAATTCTGCTTCCTTGTGGACACACCTGCTGCATTGGCCACCTTCAGGGAAGAATACGGTATCCCTGCAGATGTCCATTTGGAACTCACCGAGATGGAAACAACCCCTTGGGGCATGCTTGACCAATGCCCCTTCACTATGCTGTCAGTAATTGAAGGAGGCCCCCGCTTCCCGGTCATCCCTTTGATAACCGAATTTCTGCACCGCACCGGGCTAGCACCCACCCAAGTTTCGACCAATACTTACCGGATAATCAATGGCATGCACGAGCTAAACAACCGGCTAGGAACAAACTTAGGTTTAACCGAGATACTACGACAATACACCCTTGGGCATACCGGCGACGACCTGGCCTATTATTTAAAAATAAGACCGGGCAAAGAGAAAATAGTTACCGGCACCCCGGATAAGGACTTACATGATAACGACTTCTTCTGGGTGTCCGGCAATTATGAAACAGCCGACGTACCACTCTGGTTCATCAGCAAGAACTTCGGTTCCACATTTAAACCGCGCTAATTTGCTCGGTTAAATTCCTGCCTTCAACATTCTGTACTTAACCATTTTTCTTGTTTCTTTTGTAGCAATTCAAGCCTTGCAATCCAACTACCAATATCCCAACGTAGAAGCCATCCAGACCGTGCTCCGTTACAGCCACTGGGATTGTAACCAGTTGCTCGGCTACACTCCAACCTATAGATACTCAACTCCACGCCGGAGCAAAGTTACAGACTTTCTCCGTGCTCCAACACCTCCTCCGAATCTAACTTTACCGGACGTGCTGATAATTCGGTTGACCGAAGAACAAGAGATGGCAAAACAAAACCGCATCAAGAACCTCCTCACAGTAACCTCAACCGAGATGCCGAGCATCACCACCCACTCTCAAGCTGCCGGACAATCCAGCGGCCCCGTGGTCGCCTTGGCATCTCCAGGTGCCGGGCAACCCAGACAAGAAGCTCGCCGGGCTGGCAAAAGGCCCCGCACAGACCCATCCGCCGAGCTGGTTACCGAGCTAACCACCGAGCAACCCACCGTCACTGTCGACCCAACTCCACCGTGGCGACCACAGCTAAAGCACCGGGGAAAGGACATACCGGCTACCGCTTCCATCAAGGGCGACAAAGAGCACCTGCTCGCCTTTGACCTTTCCAAAGCACTTCTCCTACCGAGTGATGTGGTCGGCAGCGACCACGTTCCTGACACCCGGTTGGTGAAATCGTCTATTAAGTCCATGGCCAGGGTAAGT